AGAGCGATTCTGACAGGTCGTATAAACTGAGTAAGGGCGACCATGTGACATTTGAATATCGCTGGGGCGCATCGCTACGAAATATCCTTTGAGAGGAACCCAGCTGCTAAAAATAGATCATATAGCAGTTGATCGGAAAGGAAAGTCATTTCAAAACCTTCACTTTCATTATTGGGGGAGTACTTATACTCCCAATATCCGTGTAGAAAAACTGTTGGCCACTCCCTGAATAAATGAAATTATTTTTTTTCCAATCTCGACAGAAGATAATTTTCGATATTAACTATGTGTGTATTTGTTAGATGAATGGTCTAGAATTATTTATTTTGTCGCTTCCGTAATTGCTGCTGATCATTTCCAGTCGTTCACTGATTCAGGAAGTGGTATTATAAAAACCGAAAATCTTACAGCCACATTTTTATTTCGAGAGACCTTAAAGGAATCCTTCCCTGCTCGGCTCGATACTAGGCCCCTCTTCCGTGCAGGGGTAAATCTGAAGAAACGGAGTTGACAAATATCGCTAAACGGAAGAGGCGAGGAAGAGGGTTGGGTCATAGGTCAAATGTCAGGTCATAGAAACAAGAAAAAATAAAGAAAAAGTATTTGGATGCAAAATAATGATAAATTACACAAATATTATAATATACTTATAACACATAATAACTATATTTACAGACAATCTGAGAATAATACAGAGGAATGCATGTTTTTTTCATTTTTGGACGGAGGGAAATTGTTTTGAAGGTTTTAACAATTGTAATTATTTGAATAATTTCCTCTATATTTGTTGCAGTGTTAATGTAAGGTCGATATGAAAATATTTTGCATTTCAAACTACGACCGTGTGAAATGGGGCACAGCTGCATTTTTGCTTCGTGCGACTGAAATGGAGCTGAGAGGAAACAGATCGAAGAGTTCTGGGGACGTAGGAATCACAAATATTATGATCCCGCCAATTGGTGAAATGGAAAGTTTATTATTCTATGGGAACGAAAATGTTTAATTAAAGAGTTGTTTGAAATGTTATTAGAGTTAGGCAGACTTGTATTTATGTTGGCACATTTTCGCTGGACTCAAATGAGCCACTATGGATGTAATTGTTATAGGAATAATCAATCACATAGCGAATAAATTGATGTTCTAAATATATCTTAAGAACCCAGAAATAATCTATCACATTCTAAAGACGTAGCCATATGACATAGATTTATGTTAGTATTATTTTTTAAGTTTTTAATATACTGTGGTATACAATATTTTCTCTGCGCCTTTCAGTCTACTGATATGCACACAAACAAATTACTCGCATGCCCGAGATGAGCAGTAATGGCATTTTAAAACGTTTGGCGGACCATAATGTATTGAGAGTCTCTGACATGTATCAAGAACGATACTCAACCTGAAGATTGCCCGACCGATACATTTGAAGTAATTCGTAGCCACCAAAGCGAATTTATACCCACACCAAACATCGCGGTTACCGAGTTTTTGCTCTTCGGATAGTACACGCTACTCCAGACATTTTAAATCTGTTCAGAATGCAATACAATTACTAGCAGAGGCTTACACTTGAGCAGTTTGTGGTAACTTTGCATATTATTCTTCTGATACATGAACAGAGTGCTCAACCTACTGTCTGATCTATTCCTGACGTTTTGCGATGAGTTTTTTGCATCGCAATTTTATGCACAATTAAAATGATTCCCGGTTCGCGGGTTTTGAAACATAGCAGGAGTAATGGATAACAGTAACGAAGACGTAATGATGATGAAAAAGCTGTTGGTTAGTTGGTTGTTAGTAATTCCGGAAGCGTCAACTGCTGAGGTCATTAGTTCCGTAAGAGTAGTGCATGTTTTCTCCTCGGGAGGCGGCGGTGATCTTCCCCCGTTAGATGGTGAGATCCGGCGCCGACCTACCGTCGGCTAGCGCGGTTTCCCTCAACCAGGTATCTCTCTGCAGCAGGGTAACACCCCTCCCGGGACAAGCTCTAAGATCCTGACCGGCATGTGTGATAGTGTAGAGCATGTTAGTGTTTGTTTAAGGGGTGAGGATAGGCCAGGGAAGAGGAAAGAAACATTGCAAGCTGTCCGTGATCCTTTGTTAGGGTGCTGCTCCGCCATTCGCCTGGTGTTGATCGGAGAAACCACGGGAAACTGCCGATCAGAGCAGAAGGCCATTAAATCTTCCTCCAGACAGCGGCTAAACTCGATCTGGCACTCACACCATCGGGAGTGAAACCCAAGGACCTTCCGGTCAGAGGCACTGCAGTGATGTCAGTTGATACCCTGAGCCACCTTTTCCAGTGTTTTGTAATACAGCTTCCTCTGAACAACTGTAGAATGTATCTTTTCGGCCAATCTTTTCAGTATTGCACCGAGACAGTGGAGTTCCTGGACCAAGCAAGAAGAAACATAAAAACCTCGACTAAATCGAGCTCCCAACAGCCAAACTGTTCCGTCACAAATTTTACATGAAGAGGCGAGACTACCGACTTTGATACAGTGCACTCCGGATTTCAGGCCAAAGGTCGTCCGTTCCTCCGGATGACGGCGGCTTGTCTGGCGAGATTGGAGAGACACGTGAACCGCGAGGGAACCTGCCCGAACTCGCCAATCTACTCGACTATACATTTTACATGCAGTGTCAGGAATTGGAACTTTTGTGGTGGGACGAGACTTGCAACGTAGCCTGCAGGTCAGAAACGCCCAACTAAGCAAAAACAACCTAATATCTAGGACGCTTGAGCCTATATAGAGTGCATCACCTACGCTCCAATGCCTCTTGATTCAATTCAATGCGTATAACTACTCCGTTGAACGCTACATATCAAACAATTGTAACTGATGTTTCAATTTCAAGCTATTATTCAATAGATTTATTTCATTCATGAAGACGCTTCTAAATTGCCAATAATATCCCTCTATAATACCTCGTTGACACCTACTGGTGATAACAGTATTGTTTTATAAGTGGCTGAAATGGACCATTGTGTGCAAATTAGTTAATAATTAACGAGCGCGTTAGCGCGAGTGTGTAATTACAAAGGAGCACATAGTGGTCTTTCAGCCACGTGTAATGTACAATAGTTTATCTTATCCGATCGCGTTTACATCATTTTGAGCTCATTCTCTTCTACATGTAGGCGTAATGTTGAATGGTATTATATTGATTTCGACGGTATATTGGAGGCCTTCGAGCCTTCGATATTTGGAGTTGGCAATCGAAGGAGTTGGCAGTTCGAGAAAATAGAAAATATCCCTGAAGGTATTTAAAGTGAAACTGCAAAAGCTGTGGAAGATTTACTACCCAGTAAATCTAAAGATATATTTAGCAAAGAATTCTAAAATTTTAAGTCGTGGAGGAAAGAAAGAAATATTAAGAACGTATGCGAGGAATGTATCGAAGATTATTTGTCATCAAAAGTAAGTACCCATACTTAATGCAGGTTTGTAGGAATGTATACGAACCTTTGAATATTACCTTGTTATTTGATGAGTATTGATATTTGTATAAGTTTCAACAATAAATTAATAAGTATAAATGTGTTTCTACGTATATTCCTTCCTTTTTCAATAAAATAATGTTTTTGTGTGAATCGTATTGTTCAGTTCATTGGCAGCAGTTTTGTTGTTTATTCTAACAATTGAAAGCTACTTTATAACGTATCTGTAATAAAAAAACACTCCACAAACCCCAGACATGTAAGTAAACATCCTTCAAAGGGGTGAGGTAAGATAAAATAAAGTATATACTTTTCTGGGCGCTCCGTGGAGTAGAGCAAACCCTCCTAGCGGCTGCACAGCAAAGTATTTGTCGTGATGTAACTTAACACATTTGGTTTATTTTGTATTTACCTAAAAATTGATATTATACCAAATTTATATAGTACACACAAAGATAAATATATTTATCGTCTTGTATAATAATTAGTATTATTAAATTTCTACCCACAGCCACACAACGTTTCGTTTACCCAGAGGGGGAAAATGTGCTGGCCGTTACGTTGCGAATGACTGAATATGTGCACGCTCTACGAACTCATTCTTAGCACTGAACTATTGCGGCTCGTCTTCCGAGATAGGGGAAGGTCAGCAGCGTAAGAAAATCTGCCAAATCCGTCAGTTAGTTACAGTCCAAATTTACGTGAACTGACGGGTGTACAAAGTTCGATTATTTGAGGTACATCCCATTGATTTGTCGTGGTTCTGTGCGCTAAATACTTCCACAATATTCGAAGATGAAAATCTTATGTGCTTGTCGCACCCCGAATTAGTAAGCGTGATGATTGGCTAAATACCAATAAAGAAAATATTCCTCATGCAACCGATGCCACAAAAACTTCAGAAATATCATTCCCAACCCTCTTTCTCCATCATTATTTCATTTTATAGGGTTCCATTCACACGAATATTACCACTCTACAATACTGGTTGTAGCAGCTATAGATAGTAGACGTGATCATACCGGCAGCTTATAAAGTGAACCATAAAAAGATTTTTAAAAAAACAAATATCATAATCTATTAACAGGGACGAAATTACTCTGGAAATCGAGGATCACGGTTGTCCGAGTAGTTATCAAGACGCTTGCATGATCGTGCCATGAACCTTGTCACATGGTATTATTTAGAGATATTATTATTATTATTATTATTATTAGCCCACAACATCCCATAAAGGACCAAAGCCTACTGTTTTAGCAGGGTTACAGTTGAAGATATACGGGGCGATAACAAGAGCCCTGACTAATTGTCTTGCTCCTTATTCCTTGGTTTGGGTCTAACATACCATCTGCAGAAGCCCGCATTGCTAGGCACTTACAGATAACTATCGATTTCTAGATTACTAAAAATTTATTTAAAATATTGTACTCGGGATCACATCTGACAAATTATCAATTGAATCGAACCACTGACGTTCTCGCACTCTGAGATCCTCCAAAAAATAAGGAAGTATCGTTGAATGTAAGATAACAAAACGTATTCATTCTATCTTGACACGCTAAACATGACAAAATGCTGCTGAATAAGGATCCATTTTTTCTGTTATCCCATACGTTCTAGGTAGAAAACAATATTTAAAAAAGTGTACTAGTTGAAAATTGATGAAAAGTTTCCTCCTATTAAATTTCGTAATATTAATGATATGTCTTTCGAGCAAGGTAAGCTCTTCTTAACGTTTCATGAAAAATCAATAATTGAAAACCAAATAGACATGAAAACATCAGCTGTGGTCTCTCTAGTGTTATAGTTTTCACGTCATTAAATAGATGTTATTTGTGTTGGCAGCCACGTGTTACGTAACACTTTTCGCAAAATTCTCTTTTTTACAAGAAAAATATTATAGACAAAAAATACTATTTTTTGAAATAGTAAGTTTAGTCATTCGCCTTGTGTATTCCGACTCATTTGTTTTGATTTTCCGTAACGAACGGTAAAATATTAAATCATTAACGGGTGTCTTCTTACTCCTCTATTGAGTCGATAGTAACAGTAGAATATTAGTAAAAATATACTCCAATTTAAACATATAGGCATTTCAAGATCACGTGCTGGAAGGAGATGGGTCATCGTCATCCAATCGAGAGCTCCAATGGCAAAATATTTAAGCCGTAATATAGCTTCCGATTGGATGACAATGTTCCCCTCTCCGCTCTGACCTTAAAGTGATAAGTGAGTGTGTATTTAGATTTAAACATAACTAACCCTGACGTAAATCAGTTGTTGTGGTGTCATCCAATTGAGAAATTGAACGTCACCACTGTGATGTCACTGTAGTGATGCATAAGCTCCCGATTGGATGACACCGTCTCAGCTGACGACCTACCAAGTGCCGCTCTAAATACATCCAGGCGCGGATCCACGGGGAGGAAAATGAGGGAAATGTCCCTCCCAAAATTGTTCAATTTTAACTTTTCACGAACCTTTCAAGCAAAAATATTTTCGTAAAACATTAAAACTAATAAAATTGTATTGCAACAATGAGATTAGTCTGGGTCGTTCTGCATAATCTGAAATATGACGCATTCGACCAGATCATTTTGAATAACGAAATTTGTCCTCCCAAAATTCGTCCCCTGGCGAATGGCAGTAGAGCGAGGCGCAGGCGAGCGTACCTGCCGGGCGAGAGGTCGTCCTTGGCGCCGGGCGACTGCGGCTCGTCGTCCGAGACGGCGCCGGGCCCGCACAGCGGCGCCGTGGGCTGGTATGGGTAGTAGAGCGGCGGCGCCGGCGGCTCGCGGCCGCCGCGCAGCGCGCCGCACCGCGTCTCGTACTGGTACTGCGGGCGGCGCATGACGAGCAGGCGCGGCAGGATGTGGATGAAGACGCGCCGCACCCACGGCGCCATCTTGTGCGTCTGCGGCGACCGGAAGTGCACGTTGAGCACCACCACCGTCACGCAGATGCTGCGGGCACACCGGAAATCGCAAGGCTGGAGGTGAGGGCTGCAAGCTCAACGCTGACGTAGTGCGTAGCTGGAATCGAATCGTTTGGTTTAGGCAAGGCACACGTTACTTGAAAAGACAGGAGGTCGACTTGTGCTTTCTTTAAAATAAATGATTCGATTGCAGTAGCTCTGGATTCACATGGTGACAGCTTTGGTTGGCTAGATAAGCTTTTGATTGATTCTTGACTGTCTGGGATACGCCATGGCAAAGTCGTACAGTTGCCGACACAGTAACAACGGTGTCTATAACGTTCTGACTCCCAGATAGCCAATAATATATTGACCCCAGTCGTGTATGCCTACAATTTCAAGGTTTGGATGATTTATTGACACATTATTTAGAGATAAATCCCCCATAATAGTCGGTCCAGGCACATATATATATATATATATATATATATATATATATATATATATATATATATATATATATATATATTCGGGGTTACTGCAGGTAGTGATCGTTTGCGGCCTTGGCCGCTGGCTATTCGAAAGCATTTCACCCTTCCAGAAAAACACGACAACCTGGCCACGACGTTGCCCCGGGCAACCGAAAGCAACAATGGGACTCCAGCCGCCTATGAAAGATCACGTTGCAACTAAAATATTCATCTCAAAATTGTGTTAGGAGTACATGACTAGAGAACTAATTTTCCAAGCCGCGACTCCGCGTTTCTATTCCCATGTGTTAGGGCAAAAATTAACGCAGTCGCTTTTCACTACCATCTCCCAGTTTATACACCTGCTTGATAAAATGAAAGCTTGAAGCTAGAATGTGAGAAATAGATGACGCAAGGGGCTGCACGTCTTTACACAGGTCTCCTGAGCCCATGCAGGTATTGCCCAGGATTGCAACCACACTACAGACCGTTATCTTTCACCTGATATCTCTTGGACATTTTTCAATCACGAATGTCAGCGGGCAGTGCTATGGCTACGCGACAGGAGATATATCAGTCGCCACAGTGCAATCTAGATGTGAATGAAGGGCAATGAACGGTTTCAGTAATCGGATCAGGTTGCAATATGGACCCGACGGCTTTACATCTCATCGGGAGGAAAGACTTGTTTGCCGTAAAAAAAGTTAAGAGTTTTAATGTAAGGCAGTTTTTCCACTGATTTAAATATAACACACTGCTATTATCTATCATTATTATTATTATTATTATTATTATTATTATTATTATTATTATTATTATTACTATTATTAGCGTATCGGCCATTTCTGACCACGCTACAAGAATAACGTATGTAATTACCGTGATCTGTTTTCCAGACATATCTTTCGGTACGAAAAGGTTGTTACGTCTTGAAGTGTGAATTATGAGGTGATAGGATGATGTTGCAGCCTCTTTGGCGAAGATTTTGACTGCCGAAACCGTCTGCGCGACGGTATTGGCTTATCTCTTATATTCTCTTTTATATTCACAAAACAAATACCTTCTCCCCAGCTTCTCTCTATCGACGCCTAAAATGTTTACCCCATTTTCTCAATTTGTCAGTCGGTAGAATTAGCTTATGCTTTCTATAATATTACAGAAGAGAAAACGTGGTTCTACATGCTCATTTTCATTGGAAAAAATTGAAACCGTTTTCGAGAATATGTCGTTTCAGCGTTTCTGAAAATGATAAATTTTTAGATTGTAATGATAAAAAACTGGGAGTCGCTCAGTGATAGGGCGAGGGCTTCCTGACTTGAAGGATCCGGGTTCGAATCCCAGCGTAGTTGTTATGCATATCTAGTAATTTCCATTCACGGCTGCTCTGAGGTCGACTTAGCCTCCTTTCCAAGTGAGTACCAAGATCTTCTCTGGGGATAAGGGCGGCCGGAGCGTTGTGCTCGCCACATAACCTCCTCCTTGTACCGACGACGACGAATAGCAGGAGACCTATCTTCACCAACCCCATTGAGCCACATTGAGGCACCGTTGAGGCACGTGGGGAATTGCAGAAAGGTACCATTACCTTTTATCATTTAATTGTGAGAAAACTAAAGATTTCTAGAAGCTTTGAAGTAAATTGAAGCATTTGCACTCACAAATGCAATGATGTATTAAGGACGCCCGTAATATATTATCAACATGAAATATCATTACGAGCTTGACCCGTGCCAGGTCGAAGCGCACGGTTCAGTGTCGAGTGTTTTTCTTAGTGTCTTTCTTCTTGCGAACACTATTTACTAAATATATTCGTTTTATATCTGTGAACGTGTAAATTGTGAGTGTCTACTTCACGTTTCTGCTTTGCGAGGAAAACCGTCCCTTCATCGATGACTTTTCTGCTAGGATTCTCTATCACCGGTAAGGTAAGAATCAAGAGACATGTTTCCACCACTCCTATAAGCTGTGTCCATAGCATTGCATTCGCTAAATTACTTCTATCCTAATCCATCTCATACTTTCCACTAGCCACACCTCAAATGAAGCCGTTAGAAGTGACCCAACCCGCGTATTCATCAGATGCCATACAACAATCATCCCTCGTGAGGCAGCCTTCAGCACATCAGATAAGTACAACAGTATCGCCTTCAGTTAAGTGCCTGCGACTGTAGATGCTGTAGTAAACAGTACACGAGCAGCCTGCCTGCTCCTGGAACTATCACGTGGTATAATATTAAAACTAGTAATAAATTTACACCTCGCGATCAAACTAATAAATATTATTCAAGATCCTTCCGATACTAGTCCTTCTCCCCCACAAAACGAAGGAAATACCCCCTATTTTAATTCACAACCCACCTGTTCACACGAAAGTTCTTAAAATAATCAAAGACACTAAAACATGAAAACTTTACCACTAGAGTGAAAGGATACAACATGGAAGTTGATGTAAATTCTGTTGATGATTTTACATTGCTCCGAAAGAAACTATCAACTGAAGACCTTTTCTATCTTACCTACCGAGATCCAACCAGAGCTACCACCTCAGTGGTATTCAGAAACGTGCCAAAATCTTACTCAAGAAGAAATACTTCAAGAACTAGTAGCAAAACAGTTACCCGAAATAACAGTTATACTTGTACGATTAACCAACAGCGCACGCAAACCACGGCCATTATGTGCAATATCTCTCGCTAAAATCAACGAAGGAATGTCAATCTACAACCTAAGGAACTTTTCGATCCTATCATCACAATAGAAGAACGTCGTCATAGACCTGGTCCAGTTCGGTGTCGGCAATGTCAGACCTACAGCCATTTAAAAACAAAAACAACTGTGGTTTGCTACCGCGTTGTGGAAAATGTACGGGTCAACATGCTACTGAATAATGCGCCAATAAAGGAACCAAATGTTTAAACTGTGAAAAGCCGCATCGGGCCTCCAGTCGCGAAGGTCAGGTACACTAGAATATTCAATAAAGAAACGTTCTTCCCACCCAACCAACCTCCATACTCGTACATGCCTCCAACCGTCCTGCCCACACAATCTTTCACTCCCCCATCGCCTTTCATCGCCATCGCTTTTCATCGCCTCTCCTCCCTTCCCCACCACATTATCACCTCAGAGAAAGGCCCTGAAGATTTCTTGAACCGAGACCACCATCGCCATACCGATTTCGTACCATACCGTAGCATTACATATTCAGATTTTCTAAAAATCTCAACACCCCAAATTCTCGCTCTAGAATAATCTCACAAATTGTTTCTCAAGAAATATGAAGAAATATTCTTCATATTTATCTAGAATCTTTTAAATCAAATAATTCCCGTTCTTATCAACACAGTTCTCCAATCTCTGAAATTCTATTAACCACAAATTTATGTCTAAAAATAACCCCCGTCATTCAATCTCCCTTACATTGTGGAATGCAAGTAGCCCACGGACCAATATTCACATTCTCACACATTTTCTGCATAGTAATAATATCGACATAGCTTGCATCCAAAAAACCCAATTAAACCTCTCTGTTAAAATGTTCATCCCTGGATATACGATGTATCGATATGATCGTGCACAAAACCGCAACAGTAGTGGTGACGCCATTTTTACAAAAAATTATATCTCCCATTATTAGCTTCCTGAATATTCAAACTCCACGTTTGAAAATATAAGACTTGCAGTACAGAAAATTTGACAATCTCGCCTCATTGTGAAATCAATTCATAAGCTCCCAATATTCCGTATAAAACAGATGATATCGACCCGCTGTTTTCATCAAACCAACCTACAATTGTTATAGGAGACTGAAACGCCAAAAATACTGTATGGGTTAGCAGACTCAATTCACCTACCGGCATCCTTCTTCTTGCAGATATTGAAAGATTAAATCTAACAGTATACGCTTCTCATTTTACCAGTAATTATCCTTCCCAATCTACAAGCAGACATTCTCGACTTCGGTATCTCTAACAACATTAGCTGTATTATCGTAGGGCCACAGTCATCGCTCTCCCTTCAGACCATCGCCCGCTTATTTTCTTCGTAAATACACCTTTAAAATAAAATCACTCAGCGCAGCCCATTACCTACAAAAATAATTTTAAGAATCCCTAAATAGAATTCGAGCAATTACGCGCGTTATTTCGTCCGTTCGTGGATCAGTCTTTCACAGTTAGATCATTTACCGTTCACCAATTGAGACATATGAGATATCATTCGACGCGCTTAGTCTCCTTGTGGTGAACTGATAATTTATTTTCGGATCGAGCTAGAATATTCTAAGAAATTTCCAAAAATTATTTTTCGTGTTTTAATCCCTGCTATCTTAGTGGATAGACCGGAAATTAAATCAATGCCATCTAAATAGATCTATGTAGATAGTGTTGATTAAGCCACAGTATGCAGAGACAATTTGCACTCCACGACACGAGAATTTTCTTCCCCGAGATTGGCAACACTGATTGTTGCCCTCTCTAAACGCAACAAGTTCATTGCGCGACAGAACTGACAATTGCTGCTACTTTTAAGGTATTAATAAGAAGATAAGTGTTTCATCAGTATTACCGTATTTTTAAGAATAAATTTGCAAAATCCCACTTGGATTGAATTTTTAAGAACTTCAAGTGAATACGAAGAAAACTAGAACTGTGAGTAATGCTAGAGAATGAAAGTATGTCCGTATTCCACTTTTAACATTTACGTACATAGAGCGTAATACCGATTTTCAAATCATTGTGAATAGTAACTTATTCTTATCAAACGTACCTAACATCTTATTCACATAAATATACAAAACATTTGCTTTTTAATGTTTATGTAGATTTGCGTACAAAACGATTAATAGAGCAATTGAAGAAGAGAACACAAATTAAACTGAGTTTGTGGAGTTTCAATCTCTTCAGAATGTTTTGAGCAAATCCGGGAAAGAATCAAATGTAGTTGTAAAAGAGTTTGCTAAAGTGTTTGGAACTAACTGAGAATTATTTTATATTAGGATTAAATGATAACGCTAAATAACAGCTTAAATGTGATATTTTATGCATTTTTGCCAAGAAAGCTAACAAAATGTAGTTCTACCAATTTTTCACTATATTCATCATTCATACCTACAAATATTTTTTAGGCCTTTACAATTTTGAAATTGTAATATTACATAATATTTCAAATTCCGTATCGACGAAGCATACCAGGCCATTGGATGTTGGGAATTTTCAAACGGGAGTATAACATTATCAGCTACGATTCATTGATACGTCCAATGTCAACTACTTTAGGAACATTTTTCAACAAAGCTATGCATGACATTTAGAAATATTTCAACTCATGAAAATACTTTTAAAACAGTTTACAGCGTCGGTGACGCCACATTCAGCTAGTTAGTAAATAACTCGCGAAAGCAGGTCAGTTGTCAAGAAAATAAAAAAGACGAAACCTTATTAAAAATTCAATATGATGCTCCTAAAGATTGATAAAAATAAGAAGAGGTTTAATATTTTTTTAATGTTTCTCATAAGGAGTAAAGTCTGCATTTAAAAATAGCGCAATTCACATTTTCGTTTAATTTGCGAAAAATCTCAAAAGTTCAGATATTTTTCGGCGTCTTCTTACTACAACATTGAAAAAGATTTTTCCTTAGAATACAATATGTTCTTCAAAATAAGATGTTTCAATAAAGGTTGTTTTTTTTCAAAATCTGAAGTGTCGAGTAATTTTGCGCGAAATGATGTTAAATTAAGAAACGAGAAGAAGATATTCCAATTTTTTATTTAATAACAGATATTGCACCATGTGTATAAGGATGATTGTACACATGGTGTAAACCCAATTTGTATTTGAACTCTCTGAATTTTTGAAAATTGCAAAAGTTACAAATAATGGAAGAAAGTTGTAATGTTAGAGCATCACTAGTTTCATAATCGAATTTTTCATTTTTGTTGTGTACTGTTTTACATAGGTTTTTGCTATGTGATAGTTCAGCAGAAGTTTAACCTCCAGGAAAATTATAGAAATATCTTTACTACTAATGAAGGCATTGGCCAACGATGCATTTCAAATCAAAGTACTTAGATTGAATTCTCGGAATAAACGCAATCATCAATCAAAAAACAAAACAATCATCTTTCTTATACGGGTGTCTTCTTAGATATAGTATCTCACTTTTCCTAACTTACAATACTGATCATGCACGATCGTCTTGCCATTTCAATGCTCTTCGATTAATCTTCACAATAACTACTTCTCTACCCTTAACTTCATCCGCTTTATTGCATTCTCCCTTCCGTTTTCTAAATTTTCCACTGCACTGATGTAACTAGCGTTGATTCATTCCTCTTGTGAATTTTTTTGATGGGATCCACGTAACCCGAATTCGCAAAGTGTAAGTAAGATATGATCTAAAAAAATTAAATTAATTGTATGTTCTACAAAAAATAATTTCTCTCAAGGATGAATATACTGATATCACTTTCGAAAATAAATAATTTTATAACATTAAAATAAGAATAATACAAATAATTTAATTATATTATTTTTTAGTTTGTATATAATGTTATAATATTATATTATTTCTGTATCCTTGTATAAATCAAGAATTTTAAATATACAACTTTAAAAAATTTTCTACAAACGTTCTAATTCCATTAATGAATATATTCTTTAATGAGCAGAATCGCATTTTCACAATAGAAACTTTGAATTTCACGCCAATTTCTGACAAATCACGGGGGAAGATGAGATATCACTTTTGAAACAGGAGAACCAACTCAATTAGTATACGAATTGCATTTATTACTCACCTTATGGACACGAGGATCATGGCGAAGATGAGGTACTTGCCGAGCAGCGGCACCACCAGTGACGTGGGCGGGATGATTTCCACCACCAGCAGGAAGAACACGTGCAGGGAGATGAGAATGGAAATGGACAGCGTCACCTGCGGACGGCAACCAGGGATCAGCGATTCAGAAGCAATTGGCGCCAGATGTGGAACACGCACTCGGGAATATCATCGGGATGGCGATAAATTAATTCGTTAAACCCCCCTTGTGTCGACTTCAAAAGACTGCGACCACCAAAATAACTTCATTGTTCTTCCTCAGGAGGCCGTAGAGTTCGAATCCCAATGATGGAGAATTTGCGACACCAGGTAGATAGCTTGGTCGAATTCAGCCCCTGTCTGGAGGAGAATTCTAACAGTCAGCTGCTCTGATCGGTTGTTTTCCCTGGTTTCTTCGATCAACACCAGGTGAATGCCGGAGCAGTCCCTAATAAACGGGCCACGGACCACGCGCGAACTTTCGTTCCTGACCTTTGTCCTTTCCTACCCCTTGTGCACACGCACCTCCTCGCCACACACATACACACATCGACCCACAAATTATCGAGAAGTGAGTCAGGAGTGTAGAGGTGTAGAGCTTGTGCATTTTAGAGACTAGTAAATGTTTTCGAATTATAAAAAATAAATGAATTTGTCTTAGAGGAAGTGCGATTGAAAATTTCATTCGAGAAACGTTCGTCAAATGAATATTGACTTTAGTTCAGTAGTTAACTAATTTGTTTTCAGACAGGATAAATGTGTGACTTTCGGCTTTGTACGTAAAAGTGTAATTGCGATTAACTAAACGATTGTGAATGTGTGAGGTGAATGGAATTCCTGTAGAAAAAGAGGCAGAATTCATTTAGATTGATGGTTTGTTTGACGAAAAGAAACGTTCTAGAGAACTCGGAGTAAATTAAAAATGTGTGTGTGTGTGTGTGTGTGTTCGCGCGCACGAGCGAGCGTGTGTTGGCATGTGAGTTGACACGACTTTGAACATGCCATTTTAGAGGTTGCAAGAGCTCCCAATAAAAAAGGAGCTTGTAGGAAATGGTACAAATTTAATCAAACTCGAGTTCTTTGTGGCTACAGACCGTTGGAGAACCCTTTGTTGACTAGAAACGCTGACGTTGTCAACCTTTGTTCCCAAAGAATTAATAAACAAACTTTTTCAAAAATACCGTGAAGTTTACGAGTGTTCTGTAGCGCTTGGCAACAACTCGGTGCGATGGGGTATTAGAGTTTGCACGTGATTCTGTTTATTCTGTGCCTTGAAGAAAGTCATAATAACAATAAATGCTTAATTTTCCAGAAATAGGAAGAAAATTAGCAGAAGAAAAGCGAGTAATTTTTAGAAAATAATTCAAATAAGTATAAATTTCCCACTTTATCAAATAGAAATGTATAAATCCATGGCAATTATCACACATGTATGTTGTTTAATGTTAAGCACGTGCCTCCAGTTGTCCAAATACTAGAAGTTTAGCACTGTTTTGCCATCCTTATTTTTGCCATTAGAAATCAATGGTAGATCATAAGAATTTTGCGTTTTCCTCCTTTTAAAATCAAGAAATATAAAAATGACGAATAGTGAATTGGAATAAAAGTTGTCTTTATATTTCTTGACCCAATATCTGAGAAATGAGAATTCCATAAAGTAAGACGTAAATCTTCATAAGAACAAGAATAGACGAAAAAAGACCCCCTCAAGTTTTCCTCCTCGACTCTTTCCTCACGTAATATCTTCTTATAACGTACCTAACGGTGCTTCTTCTCCGTTCGTCTTCATCTTCTGTTTTTACTTCTACGTTGCCTTTGGAACTTTAACTTCCATGCTTTTTGTCTTTTAGCGAAGGAAAGCGAACACGTTCACAAGAAATCCAAACGAAGTTCAACTTTCTCCTTACAGATTAATGTTCAGGTATTGTTTATTAACTTACGTGTAAAAATGTGAAATGATCATTAAATATTAAATTTATAATTACTGAAATTAAAAGTTGCTAAGGGGAGTATACCTTCTTGGGATTTTCTAATGTTTTTTAAGAGTCTGTGTGACAAGTATTTATATCGATCGGTTACACTTTAAGTTTTAGTGCATCCGATTTTCTTGAATATTTTCCACCGAATTCTTGAAAATGATCTACAATAGCATATCAAGATACTGTTGTTTCAGACTGTTAAAATATAATATTTATTAACAGGTATAAGACAACAATATTGATAGACCTACCAAAATCGGACTGAGTTTTCATATCTCCGCCCCCGCGTTTAGTACACTTACATGTATATTCCTGTCAGAATATATTTTTGAAATAAATAGTAAAAGGTTGAGCGCCTTTCTATCATTTTTATCTCTCTTAAAATTGTGCTGTATTTTCTTGATCGCTTACGTCATAATATTATCTCACAATGTTTTATGTCAGGTAATTTTTAGGTGTAGCTTGTATTCTGTCACAACTTTAACCGTTCGTACGAGAATAATCACGGATAATTTAATCCACCAAGTTAATGTACCAACAACAGTGAATGCGAAAAGTTTTCGAATACATCATTCCGAAGTTAGTTCCTTAATGCAACTTCTTCCTGAGACACTGTAGTTAAAAGGATCTAATTTTCTCGAACGTCGAAGTCACTTCAAATTATCCCGTAAACCATAGTTGGCGTCTCCTGAAAGTGTGAAGTTTAGTCATGTGAAAATTTCATGGATACGTAGTTTCCCGTCCTGACGTGCCACTGCCTAAATTACAAGCAAACAGTTGGTTGTCTGTTACTTTGAGAAAAAGCACTTCATAACCTGTATTATTCCTGTCATGGAGCTGTCACTAGTGATACGTTCACAAAATGTTTAAATAATTCTCATCTCGACAATCCGTTTTTAAGTTATTTTACTTTGATTTTTCAGATATATTAGAAAGGCACGTGAACTTTGTTCTGAACATGTAAAATTTGATGTCAATACTTCAGTGGAAATAAAAGTTTGTTTCTAGTTTGTTTGTTCTATCACAAGCAATAAATTATTCCAATGAACTCAATGGACAATATTTCTTATTTCAATGAGTGAAAACCAGAACGCTATAAGTGAAATTGTATACATTCTGAGAAAACTATTTAATTCAATATCATTGTAAAGTCGTAGTGTTTTTTGTCGTCATTAAAACCACGAAATTACTTTGGCACTGAAAAATAGCCTAATATAAATACGTTTTTCTCCGAAATTACAAAATGTCACTTATATCGTTCTGGTTTTCGTCCATCATTTACTCCGTGCCAATGTTGAGGAAAAAAGCCTGAATTCGGAAGATTAAACCCTTAGACACTACGTCATTGCCAAAAATGAGATATCGATTGTCCTTATTCCTGTCTACAATGGTCCCTTAAAACAGAAGGGGGTCAGGCATAAATTACAGATCATGACTATAATGATGATGATTAGTGCCCAAAACATTTCTGAACGCGAATGACACAGGAGGATTTTGCCTATGATCTCCTTTTTCAGACATATCACAACGAATGTGATGTGCCGTTGCCTTCCACTGTATAAAGACTGGAAGGGGTGATCGTGCGGGAGCTAATGATTATGAGAGATGAATGATTATGAATGGGATAATGGTTCGTATGAAATATACACTGCTAGTCACACCACAACTACATGGTGAAAATAAAAGTGCCTTACGTAGAACACACGCTTGCAGCATTCCATGTACTCCATCTACCTGCAGCGCTCCAACTCCAGTGCTATTGCGACCGGCATGCTCTAGATTCTTCAAAAAGGAAACAAAGCAATCGAATTCTAAAACTTGTACGATTATCAGATCCAACATTTTCACAATTATCGAAATGGTAATACATAAAAGTCGAAATGGAAATACAAAAATGATTGTGATATTGTATTTTTATGTACAAATTACGAACTTATTGTATCTGGCAGATCTATGAAAAAAATGTATTTAAAACCACTTCAAACGTTTCGTTAAGCGTATTAAATAAAGGGAATTTCAAAATGTCAGTAAATCCAAATATACTCATTTTCTAATAACAGTGATCATGAACTGGGGTGAGCGTAATCTTAGCTTGATAATTTTGGGTGTTACGAAAGTTGATCCACACAGTTGGGTTGCCAAATGCGATTTGAGAAGGCAATCGATCCAGCAACTCAACTGGAAGAGTCGCGTGTTGGGATCCACCCGTTGTCATGAAAGTTCGTCCATTGCGTTTCACATGCGCTGAGAAACTCAGGACTTACAATTCCGTTGACTGAGGAGACAGCAGGTCAGTAACACTAATGTACGGCCCGAGAATCGGAGTTAAGAAGTGTTAAAGATGCCAGACAAAAATCGAAACACTATGAAGAAAAAGGTGCAGGAGACGGAATAGAAGAAGACCAGTAGAATATGAAGAAATAAAATAAAAAGAATAGCAAATGTAGAAGACAAAAATAGAATAAGAGAGGGAAATGAAAAAGAAGAACATTCCATTTCCATAAAATTTCTGATTGCTCTTCCAACGAATTTCCCCCGTTCCTCTGATTCGCAACCGACATCAGTAGCGCGATCACGTGTATCGCGAGTGGACAAACGCGCCCCCAAGCGTCCTTGAAAACAATCACACCTTACCTATTACTTTTTGTAATATTCTTATTATTTTTTTGTATTGTTTTTTGTAATTCTTTATGAGCTAGGACTTTTTGCGACAAGCCAAAATAGTATACTCTGAAATATGACAGTATCTTTTGGAAACCTAATTAGTTGTAATGAACAGTAATGTTTCAATTTAAAAGTTTAGTAGACCTCAGTGTTGCAAATAGTCTGAAATGTGACTTTCATCGACTTTGGTGTGAAGAATGTTATAGAAATGAACACTTGGGTGGAAGTTGCCGAAACAGCCTCGCATGACAGCAGGCAGCATTCATTTCCTTTTCATGCGGCTCACGGAGCACGGAAGACGAAAGTCAAGACAGCAGGAAATTGAAAGGACTATAACAGGCCATTGAAATTCTTTTATAGCCCTCGTGCACGACCGTAGCCAGGGTTTGAATCCTCTGGCAGACCTGCTACTATAGTTGAATTGCGTTCATTTCTTGCAGCTGCTTGAATTATTGAACCATTAAACATAGTTACTAACATATTTTACGAAGAGAATTTTTTGTGAATGTTCCAATAGTTGTTTGTTGCACCAAAGAGCAGAGTCGAGAAAATTATATTTTTTTGGAAGTGATTTATTTAAATTAATTCAATTAGTTTGAAGAGATACACATTAAAAATACTACTCACAGTTAGTTTCGTAATTGGTTGCTGTACTGTTGGAAATATGTACTGTAGACAATTACACCAAATGATACAATTGTACTGTTTGTTAATAATTCGACAATTCCGTTTATTTTAAGACAAAGTCTAGAACCTGAAACTCCTCAATAGAATGCGAAGCAGTGCAGATTTATTAGCGAAATAGAAAACTTTGGAGAACGGCGAAACAATACCCAATGCCTGCAGTTTACAACTGCCCAATGGTTCGTCACGAGGACCATAAAGCTAAAATTAGGCCAGACTGATGACGCAAAACCAAAGACTTGTGAATGGTTGAAGAGGAAATCATTCATAAAGCTGATCCCTATAATGGGCCAAATAATTTACTTACAATCCAGTGGTTTAACGCACTCTGAAGGAACTTAATATCCCCCTCAGTGGCAAACAAAAAGTTCCCATTTCAAATGGGCATAGTAATGTTATGCGTAAATGAAACATATTTGTACTTTTTCGTATACTCGTGCGGATATAATGAGTAATACACGTAGTGTACAGAATGCTGCGGACAAAAGTGCGGTTTTTCGACAGAAGAATTCCATTTGTGTCTCACTGACACCGTGAAAGAGGACTTTTCTCGCTCCTACCTATAGTAAATTACTTCCTCTACAAGCGTAGTCAGAATCCACATTTTGTGGTTCCTTAATACGAAAAAAGTGTTTTTTACAAAAGTCCGTCCGTATTTTGGCAAAATGAATATTTCTCTAGCGATCTGTACCAACTTGAATAGAAATGAAATCTCTAAATTTAATTAAGTATCCGAGACATTTTCTCAAAAATGGCTCAATTTCTTTTCGTTAAACTTGTACAAAATGACTAAATACACCGAATAACATTACATAAATGCCATGTTGATGTATTCTTTTGATTTCTCAAAAATTCCGCAAATGTATATTTTTTAAATATCTCTCATTTTGTTAAAATTTACATTATAGATTAATTTTATTGTTTAACACCTTTGCTAAGCGTGAAAGTACATATCTTTTCAAAACCCATACGTTTTTAGTATTCGGGAACTGAAAATGGAGAATATTCGAAAACGTTCGAACTAAATTTTCTCTAAAACTACTGCAATTTCCCCCCAAAAATTCTCCGTAATGGGAATGAGTTTAATTCTTTAAAGAATTACAGAAGTCTGATTTTGATCAAGGCAGTTGGGTCTCGAAGCATTCTGCTGGAATTATCTCTATTACGAGCACGAAGTGCAATCAATTGGGAGCGGGCTATTCTGTCCGTCACGAAATTACACAAAAATACTCATATTTGCAAAAAATTAACATGACCTTTGAAGATCTGTTTTTTATGAACAGATAAATTAAATCTTCACAATTGTAGTTATCGGAAGACAGCGAAAATGTTGCGGGTTGGCACGTGCGCCTGCGTTATTAAATATGCCATACTCCTCTAACCACTATGTTTTTCGTTTCAAATATATTTAGGTTGATGGTTTCTTACACATTGCAAATAAACGCTAACTTTGCTTAAAGTAAAATAAAGAGAAGAGAATGAACACAATCACTTTTAATTAAACTAAAAAGTGTATTTATATTATTTTCTATTTATGGGAAAGTATTCTAGAAATAACAGTATGATTGAAATTTTTAAATTTTTTGAAAAATATATTGACCAACGAATGCATTTTGTTACACAATTTCTTAATTATTGATATTGCACTGCCTAACACTCCTAAAAAGTATCGGTACCTATGGACTAAAAGGCTTCGCTTGATATTTGATGAGTACCGTTCACAGGACGGTCGCGGGTTCTATTCCGGACGAGTGACAGAAATTGCTAACTTCTAAGTTCGAGCGACCTCGACATCAAGTTCGTAGGTCGAGGGCTCTGAAGGGTTCATTGCTTGTTTCGTGTTTCACAGCGCGTCAACTGCTATGGTCATTAGTGCCGTAAACGCAGTGCAAGCTGTTATCAGGGGAAGTGGCGGTGTTCTTACCCTGCTCTATGATGAGATCCGGCGCCGATCTAAGTTGACGTGCGGGATTTCCTCATCCGGGTGTCTCCCACCAGCAGGCCACTGCCCGAGCCAGGACAAGCTCTAAGGTCCCGGCTGGTCCCCTAACATGTGTGGTAGTGTTGTGCATGTAAGTTAGGTGTGCGTTAGTAAGTGGTGAGAATAAGACAAGGAAGATAAAGGAGTGATCGCGCGCAGTCCGTGACCTATTTATTCAGTAGCTCCCGCTAGTGTTAATCAGAGTAAAATAATAAGAACAATTTTCACAATAATTGTTCTCCAGACAACGGCTGAATTCGGCCTAGCTGCCCACCTACTGTCGAATGCTGCCAATGTCGTAATTTGAACTCTAGAATCTCTCGGTCAGTGGCCAACATCCGAAATGGATAGATTAATGCTTCCAATAATAATATATTCCTAGATAAACTTCATTTTCTCTGTCTCCCTCCCTCTCTTCATGTGTGTCTCTGTTTTTCTTTTTCTCGCTGACTCTCCCGTCCCTCCCCTATCTCTCTCTTTTTCACTCACACTCACTCACTCTCTCTAGCAATCGTACTTTACGGATCACCATGTATTGCATTTCAAACGCAAACAAAAGGAAGGCGAAAGAGAACTCACCTTTTCTCCGCTGTCCGACGGAAGATAGAACGTGAGCACCGTGAGGAAGGAGATGCCCATACACGGGATGATGATGTTGACGGTGTAGAAGAGCGTCTTACGCCGCATCGTGATGTTGAACGTGATGTCGAGGTAGGGCTCGTCGCAACACGTGTAAAACTTCTCGTTCCTGTGGAGAAGGCGAATGCTGAACGTAGGCAAAAGGTGAGCAGCATTGCCAATGAGGTTCTCTGGAGAGGCTCGAACCGAACGGGTCGCCAACACCCAAGGTTTCCAAACTTTTGGTCGTAGCGTTCGCGTTTTACTTGGTCAAGTTTTCCTTCTTCTGGATTCCGCAATTTGCACTTAAAACTTACGTGAAATAATAATTTACGTCGGACTTCAATAAGTTTGGTATAAAGAATTTAACAGTTTCTTTCTCAGTTAAAGAGTAGTCTTTTTACACAATAACATACGGTTAAGTATCGTTTTATATCCATTAAGAATCATTAATGTACTATGTAATATAATTTTATAAATGTCAATTAAATTAATATAGTTAATTAACTATGTCGATTATCATTAATATATTCTGTTGTTTCCGGTATGTTATATTTTAAGACAATTTGTAGAATTATTTAAAAGGTATACAGTAAATGGTATTTAATGTAATTTTAATTATAGAAATACAATTTACTGATTACGTATAAAATACTATTACTAATTGTCTTAAAACATAAGATACAAAAAATAACAGATTTCAATTATAATCACATACGTTTCGTTTCTTAACTAAACACAAACGTCTCAATAAAGTTATTTGTAGTGAATCTGATATAAAATTATAAAAAAATGTATGTTATATGATGATTTTTATACATGCATGAATGAAAAACATTAAGTGTTAATGGTAGAGAATGTAGAAAAAAATCCGATAATTAACATCTTTATTAGATTATTTTTCTATTAAATTTCAAAAAGTCAACATAAAGAATTAAAGTGTTATTGTCTACGTAGTTACAGTAACCATGCACACGTTTAACAAGTCACTTGACATTTAGGCACTTATCTTGGCATTCTTCATTTTGGCCGGTTTATATAAGACCTTCTCCGATCATGCTCATTTAATTTGATAATCGTAACAAAGCCAAATGAGATTCTTCATTTCATACCCGCAGGAAAGTCGTTTTTTGCTTGTGATAATATACCCCCATTATCTGTTCTTTACCACCATTATTATATGTTATGCAATGTAAAACATTGAATTAAATTAAAGTAAAATAAATTTCTTTCACATAAAAACATCAATTTGCTGCTGTGTACACTTGCTGTTTTACATGAAACGTAAGTAATGTGTTAAAATGCTTTTAACAAATTTTGAAACTTGGATATCGTGTTATCCCTTTATACATTATGAGTATGTCTTGGTTCGTTCTCATCAAAGGAATGAAAGTACATTTTTTCGGATTACATTATTTTAGCATTCAATTCTTTGCGCAGTATTTTTGTTCTTAAAGTTTCTGAGACTCCAAACTCTCGGCGACCTCAGGTAAATCGTTCTTCTAAAGCAAAATGTCATGCAGTGTGCCTTTACCACCATTTTTAACTATAAGTTAAGTACAGAAGTTAGACAATGTGTGATTAATACCGCAATGAACGTCTTTACGTCATTAGAAAAATCACACTATTTTTTGAAAATTCTGAAAATGTACATAATTGTTAGAAGTTTAAGCATAAATAAAACTTATAGTATCTATTTTTAAGTGAAAAAAATTAATTGAAATTATTTCAGCTCATATATGTGGTACTGTTACACCTTACGTTTTTTTTATCAAAACGATATTTCAGTGGTCACGTTTGTACGCGTTGGTAATGTTTAGATTTTTACGGGAAGTGTTTGTAATAATGATTGTGATTTACGTTGTCCAATTAATATCTTCCGTAGTTCAACTCTGCGAGAATTGTATTTAAATATTTATCCTGAATTTTCATTGTTTTACATCTTATTTAAAAATGAAAGGAGTATTTCTGAGATAACAGAACATGTAAACAACTTGAAGGTTTGACTTCCTTATGGATTTTTTTGTCTCTTGAACTTGTTTATTTTGGTTTCAGGAATATATATTATTTCTGTGAAATATTTTTTTTTCAAATACAGAAGATATTTACATTATTGCTATTGGTAGGCATTTTAAAGCAAAAAATAATGTTATTAAAGAGACCTGTTATTTTAAATTCATACTCCTTACTTTTAAATTATCAATACAATACAGTCAATGATAACATAATAATGACCTAGAGAGTGAAATTAAACATTTTAATATAAATAATATTTATAAAACATCTAAAGAAAATATTGAAAATCTGTTTTGTGACTTACTTTGTTAATACTCGCATCTTTACTTCCCGACGTTCTTTCGTTAAGTCACATTCTTTTAATTGTTGAAAGTTTATTCATGAATGTCTAAACCGTGATTATATTTTCTTCCAGAGATGCAAAGTTTAGAGTAAAATAAAAATAAATAATAAGGGATGAAAGAAATAAGCACTCAAGTAGAAAATAAGACAGAACAAAAGCGAAGGCTTCAAATACACCCATTCTTATTTACAAACACAAAAGCTTACATCAAGCAAACGACGCCAACTCCTCGAACTGTATGTGCAGGCGCACCACACTACCAAGAAAACGAAGATGGGTCCATACACATTCGGGATCCATGACAGATTTACCAGTACGCCGGGCAGGTAAAAACCACGTTTGGAGCCACAAACCTGCGGATAAAACTATCGCGAACGAAATATAATGTTTCCTGATTTTCTTCTGCAAATGGGTTTGTTGTTGGCAGTATCATTAACTTCTGTATGCTTCCACATGTACAAAATGCATTTGTATTAAACCTATGAAAGTAAATATTATTATTTAAAGTTAATTCACTAGACCGTCTATTTTGAAAATTACATTTAGGAGAATGGTCCAGGATTTATTATACACAGTTTTTTTCTTTTCAGATTTATTGATATATATATCGATTACGACGCCTTATTTGGTCTCATTATTAAGGTTAAAATAAAAGGAATTGTATACAATCAAGTTGAAAATAAAAAACAGTAATGATATATCACATTAATCAACGTATATTTTTTAATGTGATGTACTTACAATTACATTTATTTTAGATAATGAGAGCAATCAAGATCTCGAAACGTTGGCTTTGATAGATTTACATAAATAAAATTTGAGAAGAAAAAAATCTGATTGCCTTTAATAAATCTTGGACCATCCTTCTAAAGGGAAATATTTTTACATGCGAAAAGCAGTGAAGCCAGGCATTTGTGGTTTTCGAGATACGGAATTATTTTACCAGTACCATTTAATCCACCCAGTTAAGCAACATATGCGTGACCAAAAATGGCAAAACTGTCACAAGTAACATCCGTTGTCTCTGTATTGTACGAGATGCGTAAATTCATAAGGAAAAATCTAGGTGTTTTTGGACGTCTTTGGGGAACGTTAAATAAAACACACGACAACCCGAAGGGGTAAAACCTGCAAGTACACCGAAGTGTATGGGCCTGTTAGCAGAGCAGAGTGTCTCACCTGACGGCGGGCACCTCCAGGATGTCCCACTCGACGGACATGTAGAACTCGCTGAGGTCCACGCCCACCTCCACCACGTTGGACCCCGCCTTCTCGTCCATGTGGCGCAGGTCGACCTGCGGCGAGGCGGGCGTTGGGCGGCGGTCGGGGCGAGAGGGCGGGGCGGCTGGGCGGGGAGGCGGGGCGGGAGGACCGGGGCTGCAGCGCGTCATCCACTGGCGGACACTTCCACAGCGATTTTTATTTTTTTTTAAATTTACGAGAAGCATGTCGATCGTCCAGCTGTTTCGTTTTCATTTCTGTTCGATTGGATTGATACATGGCGAAGACATCGTTTCAAAAGATACGGTATTAGTGAGGAATATAATCACTGAGGAATATGACATTTCATTTGCCGAAAGTAATTAGGTGCAGTAAAGAAGCTCGGAATTCTGAATGGTCTGTTATAAATGCTTCGTGCCTGAAAGACGTGAAGATGATTTTCCAAAAGAAATAATCTTTTCACGGGATGGCATTTTCTCGATAAGTGTTCAGTCAATGATTTATTATATCACAATGGAACAATGCGTAAGCGAAAAATCGAGATTGAAGA